GGAAGTGAAAGCCACAAGGTTACCTCTGTCACACAGTTGTGACACACTTATCAGGCTATATTTTAAGCCATCTATCAAATAGACATTCTCAATGGAATGAGAGTCTGTCTTTCCTACCTTTCCAACACCAATGATCTCACCTTTCTTTCCATTTCCAAAGGAGACATTACCTCCTTTTAGGTTCTCAAGTGAAAGGAACTGGTTCTTGTTACCAGTCATATGTTTTGAGCAGCCACTATCCATGTACCATATTTGGCTACTTCCCTTCACTTGGTCCTGCAAAAAGAAATCATGGGTTAGTCTTAGGAACCCAAACTAGTTTGGGTCCCTTTCTATGGGCAAAAGGATGAATTAAATTTTTCTTTGCCCAACCAGGCAGTTTGTGCTTTTCTTGAACAAAGGCTTTGTTCTTTTGACTGGCCTTTTCTCTTGCATTACATTCATTTTTGTAATGGCCAGTATTACCACAGTGTGTGCAGATCTTATTCTCAGGAAGTGTGAGATACTTGTTTTTGGGATCCCATTTTGGAGCTTGTGTCCCAAATCCAAGTCCTCTCTTGTTGCTACTATGATGTTCTTGCAGCCAGGAGAGTGCATCAGAAGCCTTGTTCCATTTGCATGTTCTGTCTAGTTCATGCTTTACCTTTCCTAAATCTTCTTTTAGGACTTTAATCAATTCATCTTTCTTGTACAGTTCATCTTTCATTTTTCCTAGATTTTCTTCTAGGGTGAGAAATGATTGATCAGCCCTTTTCTTTCCTGTCCCTAATTTCAGTTTAATATTTTCAGATCTAAGTTCTAGAATCTTATTTTCAAGTTGATGAACCTGGTTCTTCAACTCAGTATTTGTGTTGTCACTCTCATCAGCCCTAGACTCTAACCTTTTACATTTTTCTTCTAGGATAACACATTCCTTAGACAGAACATCCTTCTCACTGTTTATTATTTCAGACTCATCTATGAAGTCCATCAGCAGATCAGCCAGTTTTTCTTTAGACAAGAACTTAATCTTTTCTTTAAGGTGTAGAATACTTACCTCCTGTTCATCTTCTGATTCTCCGATGGCCATTAGAGCTTGATCCTCCTCAGCTTCATCTTCAGAGTCCTCATCTGATGTTTCTCCCCAAGCAGCAACCATAGCCTTAGTTGAACCTTTGTTTCTTTTTGGTTGAACCTGTTCCTTCTTCCTGTTTCTTCTTTCTGCTCTTTCTTTCTTCCATTCAATCTCCCATTGAGGGCAGTTTCTGATGTGGTGATCAGTCTTCCCACACTTGTAACACCCCTCATTGGTTTGTTTCTCAGGAGCCCTCGGTTTGCTGAATGTTGTTCCTTTTGAAGCACCCTTTCCTCTCATAAGATATTTCTTGAAATCTCTGGTTATCATAGCCATTTCATCATCTTCAAGATCTGATCCTTCTGAAATTCTGAGAGCCAGACATCTTTATTTCTTTGGAGCATCCATCTTCATTTTTTGCCTTCTCAATTCATAGGCAGTGAGATTTCCAATCAGTTCATCCAACTTCAAGGTAGCAATGTTCTTGGATTCCTGAATGGCAGTGATTTTGCTTTCCCAGGAGATTGGCAAAACTCTAGTTAGAATCTTCTCCACCTTGTCTTCTTCCAGGATAATCCTTCCAAGAGACTCAAGTTCATTTGTCAGTGTAGTGAACCTGGTATACATTTCTTGGATAGTTTCTCCATCCTTCATAGTAAAATTCTCATATTGAGAATACAACAGTGTTCCTCTTGACCTCTTCACCTTAGGTGTTCCTTCATGAGCCACTTGTAAAGTGTCCCAAATCTCCTTGGCAGTAGTACATCCTTGAATCCTGCTGTACTCATCAGGACCAAGTCCTCACACTAATCATTTCTTGGCTTTTGCATTTTTCTCCCATTTCCTTAGATCTTCAGCAGTACAATCTACTCTTGTCTTTGGAACATCCACTCCTTCAGCATTCTTCTTGGTTGTGGCTAAAGGACCATCAGTGATGATATCCCAAAGCTCATAGTCTTCGCCCATTATATGGTCCCTCATTCTGTTTTTCCACCAGGAGTAGTAGAGACCATTGAAGAGAGGAGGCCTGGCAGTGGATTGCCCTTCCCAGTTCCCAGGTGGTGCACTCATGTTGATCTTTTCCTAAGGTGTTAACCTCTTCAAGGATAACCCGCTCTGATACCAATTGATGTTATAAACGTCAATACCACACAAGAGGGGGGGGGGGGATTTGTGTGGTACCTAATTTTCGCGTTAGAAGAACCTGGTTCTTCTAAGTGTTCTAACTACAGCAGTTTGCAGAATAATAAATGCTGAAAGTAAAGTGCACAGAGATTTTTACGTGGAAAACACCTGGCTCAAAAGGTGAAAAAACCACGACCTACTACTCAGTAGGATTTTCCCAAACTCCACTAAAATCACTGAGCCAAAAACTGCATTTACAAAACTCTTTGTAAACCTAAGGATTAACTCTAATCCCAGTGTAGCACACAGCCTCAACTGTCGCGACACTTTCAAGTTAACTCTAACTTGAATACTCAATATACCTATTACAATTGCTTCTATGAAAGCTGAAAGGTACAATATGAAAACCTACTACAATTGAACTAGACTTAAAATAAACACAATGATGAAACTGGTTCTTCTATCTTAGTTCATGTAGCTTCAGACGTGCACACTTGTATCTCGCATATGTTGCTTGCAAATCAGACTTGATCTTTTTGCTCTCAAATATGCTTAACTTTTGCTTATGTGCAATCACCTGTAAAAGAGAACAATCGTTATATTTGTAGAGTTAGTAATCAGAGTTTGATAAGAACTCGAATTGTGGATCCTTTGACAATTCGAGTCCAAGAACAACTCTAACTCCTAATCCATATCCTTGATCCGGATATAATTCTCTTTTCATAAGGAGACTTCAACTCCTTATCCTATATGCAATCTTTTCGATAAATTCAGAAGATATTGTTGCTGATCCTTGAGACTTATCTTCTTCACGCGTATGTCACATGTGTAAGCATATCACCACTGTGTCTCACATGATGGAACTGGTTCATGACTGAGTTCATTTTGTCAATCTTCAAAACATCATCTGAACTTGGGCCAACACTACGTAAAATCAAGTGATAATGTGTCGGATCCACTTACAAAAGGCCTAACTAGAGAGGTAGTTGAGAAATCATCAAGGGCAATGAGACTATGGCCGAGAACAAGTCATTGTGGCGGTAACTCTACCTAGAAGACTGGAGATCCTAAGATCTAGGTTCAAGGGGATCAAACAAAGTCACTAATGACGGTTCAACATTGTCAACTAAAATTTTGGTCCATTCTCGTGAAGAGACAATGTTCAGTACCAAGGATAAAACATTAAGACTTTTTAAATTTGATACATGGTATATCAAATAGTGTACCTACAGGATGGCACATTTAGGAATCACCTATAAAAGTGTGAAGTGTTAGCCACTTCAAGGAGAATTTGTAAGGCCAGTTCTCTACGCACTTATGAAACCAGACGGTGTTCATGGCTGAAACGAACACAACCATGGAAACCAAGGACGGTTAAGGGTTGGTTGTGTGACTTATGGTTGTCTATGTATACACCAAAGTTCGACGGTTCAAAGATATCAAATCTGCTGATTAACCGAGTATATCCGACATAAGTTTACTACGGAAAGTTCAAAGGGAAACCTACTTATCCAGATGCAATTGGTCCTTGCTTTCGAATCACACAGTTTTTCATGCATATTTCCGTGATATAGCAATTAATCCTTGATTTCGAATCACCCTCTTTTAATGCTTAAAAAAGGGTGAATGGCAAATGGAGGGAAAAATGAAATATTTGAGTTTCATTTGAGATTCCCTCCTTAATGAAAGGACATTGTCCCATATTGGAAGTGGAAGAGGTTTTTTATGGGTATATAAGCAATTGTTCTTCTTCTAGCTCTTAAAAGGCAAGCCTCGCGCCGTCGTCGTCGTCGTCGCTCGCTCGGCTTCTCTTCGGCTTCGGCTTCGGCTTCGGATTCGGATTTGGTCAAATGATTGATTGATTAATTTTTCGGACCAAATTTATTTGTTAATAATAAATATTAACAGAATATTAATAATAATTCCAACCGTTTTCCATTTTTCCGTTTTCTGTTTTTGTAACAGAAAATTAACCACCCTCTTCAATTCTCCCGGTTTATTGTTGAGTAAATAGCCATTTATGTTATGGCATTTATGCTATGGCCGTTTTTCATAAACAACCATTCTGAAGAGTTGCCCTCTTCTGTTTTCAGCCCAACATTGGCTATAAATACAAGTCCATTCTCTCAAAATTTCCATACGATTTTATGAGTTTCTCCTCCTTCTTCTGCATTGTTTTAACTTCAAAGAAAGCAACAGTAAGTGTGATTTGCTACCGAACTTTGTGTTCGTTGAAACACTGGGGTTTGAAGTACCACTACACCAGTGTGTAATTTGTTCTATCCTGGAAGGAAATAATCCATAACCTTGGGTACTAGGAGGGGATTAAATTGCTTAAGGAAACACTGTGAATTCAGTGGGTTCGGATTAACTTTTGTTTCGTTTATATTTCTGTTTATCTTATTTTATTTCCTCCAAAATTATTTTACAAATACAGTTTACTAACAAATATTTCGTAACAATTTTAACTATGGTAACAAGCTAATTATAATTCAACCTCTGTTGTTGAAGGTTACAACTTACCAGCGATATATGAGAGTGCAAACTCAGTTCTTGTGCAATTAGGAAATATACTCCTCCATAATCCCTTCTAAAGATTACCAATACCGTGTTCCACGTTCTTTTTTTTTTTTTTTAAAAACCCACATGTCCATCTTTTCATAGAAAAAAGGAGGATTGCTTTAGTCAAAATTTAGCCAAATATTAACTTGTATAAAATATCCTTTGCTTCGTTCCTTAGACTAGTTGGAAAAATTGACTAAATCATTAAATAAATTGCTAGGCCTTGCTATAAATACCCGTCTTTCACTTAATAGTTTCAACATCCAAACTAATTCAAAGAAAATAAAAAGATCATTACATCCAAATTATAGGGATATGGCAAAGTCACCAGTGAGCTACACAACCTTTCTTGCTCTCCTCTTCTGCTTCCTCCTCATAGCATCCAATGGTTGGTACTTTTAATTTGTATTGTCATTTCACGTGTGACTATTATGAATACTACGTTCGCATATATTTTACTTCCAAAACAATAGTGTCATTTCATATATTTCAGTTTCAATAAATAATTTTAACAACAAAAAATAATGATAAGTTGTTCCATGCAGAGATGCAGGCGGTTGAGGGAAAACTTTGCCGATGGAAGAGCAAGAAATATACTACTCGCTTTTGCTTGTTGAGCGAGACCTGCGCCTCAGAGTGCAAAAAAGAGAACCCGAAGGCAAGCAAGGGTGAGTGCATTAGAAAAGGCTTGAGTCGTTATTGCTTCTGCTACAAGAAGTGCAAATAAGCATCAACTGCCCTCAGAATTCTCGTTTCATATGTATGAAAAAAAAATGGTTTGTTGTCTTGTGTGTGAAAGAATAAAAGCACTACCAATTCACTAGAATTGTAGTGGTTGTGAGGAAATAGTTCTGAATTATGTTTGTATTATGATCTTGTATGTTTTCTTCTTTACCGCAGTTTATGGTGTCAAGTGAAGTAATCAAAATAATTCAAGAAATTATTCGTGGTTACTCTAATCGAGTTGCCTAACTGTTGTGATTGATCTTATGACGTTGAAGAAATTTCATTTCATTTAGCACTGACAAAATGACTAGAGTAAGTGCTACATTTGATAATATACGTAATTATTAGAGGACTGAATTTACCTGCATCAAGGTTTCATCTTGTACTTTGACCAAACTATTGGCTTCAATTCATCAGATTCAACTTTCAGAAAATAGGTTGCACAAATTAGCAAGTTTGACCGGCAAAAAGTGTAATGATAATGTAAACTTATCACATATTCACATCCCTAAATTGGAGTGAGACGTGATTGGCAGCCAACCTATACTAACCCTTGCGTGAATCCTATACTAGCTAGTCGAAGGTCTGAGCTTAACATCATACTCAAGAAATTCATAATGAAGTCTTATGATAACAACAACCTGAAAATTGATACACTGATTCAACATCAATAAGTCTGTAATTTGAACCCACTAGCAAGTCATAAGCCTCTACTGAAGGTCTGAATTCATAAGCCTACGGGGCATTCCCCGAAAATAGTTAATAATGTCTGAAAGAAATAAAAGTCTAAAAAGTATCGCTAGCGCTGTAATAGAAACAATGTAGCCTGTCAACTAAGTCAAAGGAGTCTATCTCTAACCACGTGTCTCGTTACCTATAATATCAACGCCTGCCACACGACCTAGTAGGCCCAAACAATCCAAGTATTGAATAGGTCCAAATTTGGCAACCACGGCCGCTACTGAGTACGACAAGGAACGAGATTATCATGGTATATCGTCCGATGGTCGTCATGGTAGAAGGCAACGACCAATGGCAGTTAGTTAATGTATGACGTCCGCGGTAGTTTAAGCTTAGTAGGAGACAGTAAGGATATGCTTTTCGAATATTCTCTATGTTGAACCTCTTTTAGGGTTTCGGAGGGGATTGTCCCTTATAAATAGGGAGAGTCAGTGAAGAAAGAGGGGGGATGGAAAAAGATAAAAGAACACTTTGTAAAAGAATCATCTGAGAGAAAATACAAAGGCAACCTTGTTCATTGATTGTACATCTGAAAATCAGTATTATTGTTCGATATTGGGAAGTATCCAGATTCCTGCAATCATCTCATCCTTATTCCTTATCCAAACCAATCGCATTTATTAAGTTTGATTGTGCACTTAAAGTTATCAAACTTATGAGCACTCATTTGGTTTCAACATACTAGGAAACGTCATTCATCTTGCTCATTTCTTTCATCACTTGATCTAGCTTTTATCATGCTTGACTAAGATTTACCCCTTCATTATCATTAATTGATTTAATCAAAAAGATTTTTGACGCATTTGGTCAAACAATTTGGCGCCGTCTGTAGGGATTTCTTTAGCTAAGATCTTAGTTTCATCTTGATCATTAAAAGGGATAGTCACCTTTTCCTAGCTTTGCATAAACTAAGGAAAAGGAGATGCAAGGATAAAAGCAATAGTAGGTGTCACAACCAACATCCTGAACACCATCAGCGAAGACGGTAGGGAAGATAACGAAAATGCGACACCAACCACTACACCTAGGGGAGACACTTCACCCCCC